TTTTTGGTTAAAAATTATCCATAAAAATACATTTTTGAGCAAGTACATAACCAGCCAGTGTTTAAAACTATCTCCTTACCTAAGCCTGATTCACAACGGTAAGCTTATAATAATGTTTTCTACCGCCGCGTCATTACGTCACGTCTGTAATCATAAAGAAGTTGTCCTGGCTAGTAGGCTATATAAGGATGCTGCAGGTGGCGGATCGTATATAGCCTTTTCTCACAGCAGCTGGAAAAATGAAACTTATTTTGACGGCGGATTGTAATCTTGAAAGGATTATGTGTTTATGAAACACGTAAATGACTGAAATTAAATTATATTTCAGTTTTAAATGTGCATCTGAATACAGATAGCCTACGTGGGATATAACACAATTTTGTATTTTAAAGAGAACCAGTTCTAAGGAAGAATAATTAGCTTTTTGGGTTAAAAGTATTTCTTTATATGAAATTTGAAGGGTATGACAATTAGAGATTAGATTGTACAAAAATTTTAATCTACACGCTAATACACACATATATGTGGTCACGCAGTGCTGATGTTGTTAACATTAACAAAGTATAATAATAATAATTTGCACTGTTTGATGTAGGGCTGTGCAATTAATCGAAAAACAATTTAGATTTTGGCCTCCAGCGATTATGAAGATACAATAATCGAGATAAAATGATCATTGCGCCCCATTCCGCCCCCTTTCCAGCGGTGCGCTTTCGTTCCTCCAAAAAAGCCCAATTTCATGTGCAAATCAGTAAAATCATGTAACGTGACTTTTGCTAAATGGGATGTGCTTGATTTATTGAAGTGTATTAGATTTATTCATGTTTTTAAAAGCGCTAAAGAGAACTTGCGCTTCCTCGGGAGGATTGTCCAAATGCGGCGCTTAGTGATTATTCACATAAATCTTCGTCGGTCATGTAGTAAATCAACATAAAAAAAACTTAAAGCAGTTTGTTTCATTTGTATCTTTTTATTCTATTGCATTTGTCCTTTGTTTTTTTAATTACTTACAGTTTAATTATTTTCAATAATTGAGCACTTTTTTGTTTGTTACTAATATCAGTTACCCTAATACTCTGCTGTGGTATTGAGAATTGTGAAATTTCTCTGGTCTCTAGAATGTAGATGTCATAGCAACCTTATTTACAGAAAATACATATTTCATATATATCGAACTCTTTAAATAAATCACTCATAAAGTTTTGGCCATATGGCCCACTCATAATCGTGATTACAATGGCTTAGTGATTATTCACATAAATCTTCGTCGGTCATGTAGTAAATCAACATAAAAAAAACTTAAAGCAGTTTGTTTCATTTGTATCTTTTTATTCTATTGCATTTGTCCTTTGTTTTTTTAATTACTTACAGTTTAATTATTTTCAATAATTGAGCACTTTTTTGTTTGTTACTAATATCAGTTACCCTAATACTCTGCTGTGGTATTGAGAATTGTGAAATTTCTCTGGTCTCTAGAATGTAGATGTCATAGCAACCTTATTTACAGAAAATATATATCGAACTCTTTAAATAAATCACTCATAAAGTTTTGGCCATATGGCCCACTCATAATCGTGATTACAATGTTGACCAAAATAATCGTGATTATGATTTTTGCCATAATCGAGCAGCCCTAGTTTGATGTGATATGAGCTAACCAATCGTTAGATTTAATCACTATTGGTACCACGATTAATTGTAATGCTTTTTTCCTCAGTTGGTCAGAACAAAAGTGGCAGACTTGTTACTTACTTGAAAATTATTTTTTGGGTCATACTTCCAAGACGTAGGCTAGAATCTGTGATTCCAAAGTACAGTATCCACACCAGTGCGGTGACTGACAGTCACACATCAAAACATTTGATTAATCCGTGCTGAGGAGCCATGATGATGCACAAAAGAAAAGAGGCAAAACTTACGGACTGCAGCTTTAAATTCCAAAATCGATCTTTTAATCTATGCTGTTTTCTGTTGAAACGTGATTAAAACATCACTACACTAATTTGTAGAGTGACTGCCATCCAATAATCAATAATCATAATAAGCTTTGTGTTACTTTTGATATTAAGTCTCAGCTTTAAAATTATCTTCTTTTAGCATGAAATTTAAACAATAAAAACAGTTTGTTGCTCTTTAATGTGACATGGCAGATTGCGGTAAGTACCTCAGTTTAAGCCTATTTACTACTAGTTATAGCACAACATAAACGCTTACTGAAATGTTGAAGTACTCACTCAATCTTTTAATTGTGGAAAGACGTCATAACGGATAAAAAAATTACCTCAGCAAAGCCATTTAATGTTCACAGCTTGATAGTTTGCTAGAACAATAACTCTAGAGAGAAGTATTTTGTTAAATATATGGCATATATTACATATTCATTAGATTTACTACCTTATATTATATTTTTACCTGTTAATGTCTCATTGCATTTTTGAAAAGTCGTGAAAACAATTATAGCCATCATTTAAAGATTCATATTTCATCTTAAAACATCCTTTAAAAATTTGATAATTTATGTGACGTTTAAATCTTTTTGAGTGTTGATTTATTAAATATATTTAATTAATTGATTTTTAAATAAACTTTATTTCTTATTCAAATTTAAATGGGAAGCTGAATAGTTGGTTTTCAGCCAAATGCAAACTTATTTTCATGCATCTGTTTAAACCATAATTTCATCCAAAAGTTTATTGTAACTAAGGAATATTTAGTGCAAGAAATGCAATGTAAGTGTACCAGCCTTTTTAAAGTGTGGATCCACTTTAAGTACTCTTGTATGTGAATACTACAGGAGCTGTGAAGTACCTGGAATGCTCAGCCTTAACGCAACGTGGCCTTAAGACTGTGTTCGATGAAGCCATCCGTGCAGTTTTGTGTCCGCCCCCAGTCAAGAAAGGAAAGAGGAGGTGTTTTATCCTCTGAACTGACTGTACTCACAGCACCAGCTACAATCTGCGCTCACCTGAGAGGAGAACAGTGGAGGTGGGGATGATGGGAAATGTGTTTTGGGGAAGAAGAAAGAGTCTGCACAGTGTATCCGTACAGATATTTCTCCCTCTTGCATTGTATTTAGAATTGCACCACTAACTAGCTGTTAAGATGCCAGATTATTTGCTTCCGAGTGATGAGGAGTGGCATCCATAGTTGTTTTCCTTCCCGTACAGCAAGACATTCCTGCTGCCTTCTAATGATCTCTTTTATTTTCCCCTCATTCTGATGAACTAAATACTTTTTTTTCAGTGTATTTCTCCATCTTTGTGAGCCCATATATTGTTTACTATCTGCATTTTTATAGAAAATGAATTATTGCCAAACGTTAAACCCACATGGATTTCAATTTGCTCACACTAACAGTCTAATTTTTCCTAAAGGGTGGGGGGTGTTAATCATGCACACTTGTAAGAGACGGAGATTGCAGTAATGTTGAAGGAACTATTTTACAAGAGGACAGCTTAAGTAAACACTATTTTTTGGTTCCTGTGTCACGGTTTCCATGATAGAGAGTTTATTTTGTTTAACTGTATAAGAAACAAACCTAGTTAAAATGCATATAACGGCTTTGTTTGGTCAGCATATAGCATATTTTCACTACTGTATCTGAATATTCAGAAGGGCAGATCTCTTGTTTAATCTCTCTCTGTATTTTAGTCGGACAGTGTTTTAACCATTTTACAGTCCCAGTATTGTATTTAGACTACAGATCTACCAGTGCCTAGTATCAGTCCAGGGTTTCATTGCGAAGCTGAGCATGTCGGAAGTTTCTGTACTGTAGACACCTCAACACTACGGCATGGGGTTCATATTCTTGAAAGATCCCCTTGAAGACTGTGCTACATGTATAAACCGTTTGTTGTAAGGGTACAGACATTGAGTAATTAAACTTCTAATTGGATTTCAGACGGTCTAATTGGATGGTTCAAGACAAAATGGTTGGAATTTTTAATTTTGACACATCTGTAACTTTTAAAATGCTTTATTCATGCTTTTATTGTCTCCACTAAAGCTACAATGCATTAACCTTTATGTCTGAAAATAGAAACCAAATATAAAAACATTTGTCTTTGTTCTTCGTTTTCCATGTACACTTTATGGACAAAAGTATTGGAACACCCCCTTCTAATAAACCGGTTTGACTGCTTGAGTAATTTTCATGAGTACATATCTTAATGTTTAAGCATATTATGATATTCTAGGGAATTGTGTGCTTCTAATTTTATAGCAACAGTTTGGACAGGACCCTTTTCTATTCTAACATGACAATGCCTCTGTGTATAAGGCAAGGTTCAAAAAGAAATGATTGTTTCAGCCAGTGTGGAAGAACTTTACTGGTCCTAATCCCAGCTGAACACCTCTGGTGTGACTTTAAATGCAGACCTTGAGCCAAAAAAATCATCACCAAACACCAACTTGTACATATGGGTACAATCATTTTAGACACTTCCAAAACCATTGCAATAGAGACGGAAATAAAAATTTTAAATGCATGAATTATGTTTCCATCTTTATTGTGAAACAGTTTTGGAAATGCCCTTTTCTTTTCTAAAGAAGGGTGTGTCCCAATAATTTTGTAGACAACACAGAAGCTAGCATCACCTTGGTTCTCTCAACCATAATTCTATTGGCTTTTGGATTATTGCAGAAAATAAGTTGCCCCCGACAACCTCGTTAGCAACTGCTTTTTTCAAGACAAGAAAAAGCTTTAAAAACAGTCACAAAGGGGTATTACTAATGTATTTTATGTTGTAGAATAAAACGTGAAATATCTTGAGCTTGTGTTAACTGCAGCCCTTATTTCAGGCATTTAACCAAAAATCCATTTAAAATAAACCCATCGACTTTGGAGCAACAGAACCAGAAGTGCTAAAATGCTAACTCATTTCTAGGTTTTGGTCAACAAAAAATACATCATCCCTACATTTTTTAACACATATTGTAGCATCATTAATCGAGTGCTATTAATGATGCTACAATATGTGTTAAAAAAAATGTAGTGTTACTTTTTTCAGACTCAAAGTACTTTACTGATTATTTCTTTTAACTGTAAATTGTGAGAGCATTGTTTTTTTCCCTCATAATTATTGATCAGGGTAAAGACACTACCACCATGGCAGACCAGACGATTGTGAAATCAGCAGAGGAAGCAGTGCTGGTTAGTTCTTCAGTATTCACTGTTCCACTTCTCCAGCACAAGTTTGGCTGAGACAGCATCTTGTATCCCCATTCCTGCATTTAAAAATTCAAAATATCCAGCTAGTCATGACAGCTTTGCTTCCACTGACACCGACTAATTAGTGCTTTCTAAGAAACATCAGGAGATAACAATGAACAAATTCCACATGACATTCCCAAATTTTCATTACAGCTGGCTGAAGATCAGCGAGGTTTTTTAAAGCTTGCTTAATAAAAGTAACAGATATTTCCTTTTTGTCTGGAGAGGACTGAAATGCAAACGTCAAGCTTTTTAAGGCACATTCTGCTACTATGACTTTCTATCAGTGGTAAGAATGCCCCCCCCCTTTATCTTCAGTACATCTTGTTCTTGATTTTTGGATCACAGCTGTTGAAAAACAAGTTACCCAGTGACTTGAATACTGTAGTCTTCTCATGCTGAGCAGGAAAGGATCCATTTATAACTTCTCCGAGCTCTGCGAATACTTCAGCCTGGGTAAATAATGAGCATGTAAACTACTTAGGAATTTGGGTGTACTATATGTATGGCTCGAATAATTGTTGGTGAAATCAGCTATATTTTATTGATGGTAAGTAATGCATACTCCAGACAGAATGATGTCTCCTGACTCTGCTGTCGCCCCCTCTCTGCTGTCCACATACACCACAGCCTCTCTCATCAAGACATCATCCAGTTCCCTCCAGTCTGGCCGACAAGCGCCAACCGCTGTCACAAAACAGATAAATACACAATGTAGTAGTAACTATCATGTTGACTTGTTGAGGCTGTTCATTAGCTGCATTGACCAACAGTTAGCCTCAGACGTCACGCCCACGGACCGTTGGCTGAACGTCTGATGCATATACAGCAAACAAAAGTGGAAACACTGTTGTGCTATGATATTGTAATATTTACCATATATAATCAGAGGGGTATAGAAAAGTTTATGAAAGTGTCACTCCCATAATACAATAGCAAAATATATAAATCTGAAACATTAAAGTGTGACAAACATGCAAAAAGTAAAGAAATCAGGAAGGGGGCCAACACTTTTTCACACCACTGTATGTATAGTATTTGTACGTTACATTAATCAGTGTCTAGCACACCTTCCTAAAGAAAGGATATGGACCAGAAGACATTGCAATTACTAAATGATATTTAGACAGACTTAAAGAAGTTCCAGATCTATATTTGTGCCCTTATTATTTCAGTTATTTTGCCTTTAATATAAATAAACATGTGCAAACAATATACTTGCTATTGTGAATTAATTTGAATGTTAATTACATTGTGCAAGCTGTCTCTTTAATACCGCGTGGTTTACATACATGTTGCTGCTGATTGGGCTGACATGTTTGACACACCCACCAAACAAGAGAAAACACATCTCAAATCCCGTTGCACACCGTTTCCAGGAAACATGTCGTTCACCGGTTTGAGCTTGAACTTGCCCCTGATTAGTTAATCTCTCGAGTCTTCGGGTTTTTCGAGTCGTTCGTTCATCACGTGACAGACCCATAAGCTTAACCTATGCAATCTGAGCCGGAAAGAGACTTAATAATAATAACCAACTCTTTATTACCTTTGTTACAACATTCAGTGTTATGGAAAAGAACCATCATGACCGAAATTAACACATTTATAAACTGTAAGAAGTAAAAAGCTACAATTTGAGACCAGAAATGCATCACGTAACTGTAAGCGTAAATAATAATTATAATAATGATGATAATAATAATAATAATAACTATGCACCCGTTTGTAAGGAAGCTTGTTAATTAACTAATTTCTCTATCCAATGCTGTCCCATCACGTGACAAAAGAACGAACGATTCGAAAGACTCGAGAGATGAACTAATCAATTCTCTTTCCGGCTCAGACTGCATTGGTTAAGTTTATGGGTCTGTCACGTGATGAACGAACGACTCAAACCCGAAGACTTGTCAGATAAGAGGTGAGGTGAGCTAATCATAGACTGAAGACTCAGGTAAACAATGAATTATTCTTTTCTGTTTCTTATAGCAGTTTTGTATTGTTTGTAGTGTGATCAACGTTTGCGTTAGTAGTAGACGTGTCAGGGAAGTAACACGTAACATTTTAATTATATTTTGTTAAAAATTAACTAAATGACTCGAAAAAAGATTAGTTCATTTTGCTGAACGAGACTCAAAGGTCCGAGTCAGTAAAATGATCCGAACTTCCCATCACTAGCATACAGCAAACAAAAGTGGAAACACTTCAGGAGTTTCAAAGTCGTCATCGGATTGGTTGAATTATACAGGATTTCCGGGAGAAGTGTTCTTTAAAGTTCCGCCTGGAAACAAAGATGCCGTGCCGCCAAACCCCCTCACGAAAGAGGAAAGCCGTCGTGCTTACAACTGTGACGACGAGCGCTTATCAGGATCAACTAAATGCTGCATTTTCAAAAGTATGTGAAAAATTTTAAGTTTGCGACATAGAATCTTTCAAATACGTCCGAGAGTTTTACACACTGGTCTGTGAACGAAACGAACTGTGATTGGTTGTTTGACATGTCGGTCAAACGGCCTCATGGGCGGGCCTAGGCCAATGAAAGCTGCCATGGATTCCAGACGTTCAGCCGTCAGTCTGAAGGTCTGGCTACGCGAGACTAACCAACAGTAAGCAGCTTGGTTTGAAAGGGACTGTGCTTCATTAATCGCTAATTATGGATCGTTTTTGCCTTTGCAGTTCCTCTGAAATGATGCTCATGTAACTGCATCTGAACGGTATCTTTTAGTCATGACTATATTCTAAGTATAACACAGCCTCTTGTACCTTATTGGTTAAATATCTCACAAAATATTGTAAATCTGTGGACCAGCTGACCTGCTATGTGTGCACCTGGTTTGACCCACTCGCCAAAGAGTATCGGCTGACTTGCACCTGTGGCAGTCACTATTACATCAGCTCCTATCACGGCCTCCTTCACCGAAGAACAAACTGTTACAGGATCTTGGAGATCATTAACAAACCGTTGAGCCATTTCTTTCCTTCTGCTCCACAAACGGACCTGAAGTGAATACAACACTGGATTACACACACACACACACGCGCGCACACACACACGCGCGTGCACAAACAGTTTTGAATGACTTGGACATATTTCCTATTTTCATACTGGTTACCTCTTTGAACTTGAAGAGCTTTGTAAAGACATCATAGTGGCTTCTAGCCTGCTGCCCTGAACCAAGGATGCACAACACTTCTGAAAGAGCTGGCTTGAACAGCTGGAGAGAGAAAAACATATTCAGATTAAGTGACTTTATATATTATCTTAAATCATTACAAATTTGGGGTCTGTTTCAGAGGAACCTACTTTAGCTGATATGGCTGATACTGCTGCAGTTCGTTTGGCTGTGATGGCCTCCCCATCCATGATCTAACATTAGAAATACAGTTACAGAACTAAATCAAATATATACCTGTATATATATATATAATGTTTTTTTAAAGAATTCTCTTCTGCTCACCAAGCCTGCATTCATTTGACCCAAAATACAGCAAAAGCAGTAATATTGTGAAATATTTTACTATTTCAAATATCAGCTTTCTAATGAATATATTATAATGTAATTTATTGTAATTTGTCATTTATTGAAATGTAATTTATTCATGTGATCAAAGCTACGTTTTCAGCATCATTACTGCAGTCTTTAGCGTCACATGATCCTTCAGAAATCATTCTGATTTGCTGTTCAAGAACCTATTATTATTATTGTTGTTGTTGTTGTTATTATCATCGATATTTAAAACAGCTGAGTACATTTTTACAGGATTCTTTGATGAATAGAAAGATCCAAAGATCAGCATTTATCTGAATTAAAAAGCTTTTGTAACATTATACACTATACCATTATTATTTAGCAAGGATGCTTTAAATGGATCAAAAGTGATAATAAAGACATTTAAAATGTTAAGATTTCTATGTCAGATAAATGCTGTTCTTCTGAACTTTATATTCATCAAAGAAACCTGAAAAAAATTCTACTCGGCTGTTTCCACCATAATAATAATATTAGAATGATTTCTGAAGGATTGTGTGACGGGAGTAATGACCTTTCAGCCTGGAAATCACAGGAATAAATTACATTTTCAACTTTTGTAAAGCAAATCAAAGTCATGTGGTCCAAACTAAAATATTAAATAAAACAGGAAATGACATCACAGAGATGTTTGTACTGTAAACCAGTGGTTCCCAACCCTGGTCCTGGAGGCACCCCAACATTGCACGTTTTGCATGTCTCCTTAATCAAACACACCTGATTCAGATCATCAGCTCATTAGTAGAGACTCCAAACTCCGGTCCTGGATAGCCTCAGCCCTGCAGAGTTCAGCTCCAACCCTAATTAAAACTCACCTGCCTGTAGCTTCCTAATAACCGTTCAGACCTTGATTAGCTTGTTCAGGTGTGTTTGATTAGGGTTGAAGCAAAACTCTGCAGGGCTGCGGCTCTCCAGGACCGACGTTCGCCACCCCTGCTCCAAGATCTGAAATTGGAGTGTCAGAGAAAAGAGACATGCAGACTGTGCAGTGTTGGGGTGCCTCAAGGACCAGGGTTGGGAACCACTGCTGTTGACTCTTATACGTTATTGACCCAGATAACAATTTAGTAAATCCCAGACATGAACAGATGTGCATCGGATGTGCAGGTTTGTGTGGCTCACCGCTGTCACATTCCCATGCTCGGGATGAAAGAGTAACACAGTTGCTTGAGTTGATGGTAAACTGGATCCCTCTGCACGCTGGTAGAATGCCACCATCTTAGTGCATAAAATACCCTCAGCGGTCAAATATGCAGGCATAACGCCCAAAAACCTGAAAAATGCAGCAAGTGTTTATTCCTATGGGTCTATGTCAGTAAGCGATCGTGATATTTAGAGATATGGATTTATTCATACCCACTGTGTTGTTGTATAGGGACCACAGATCTCACAGGCTGGATTATTTCTGAACTGTCCCGTTTAGAAAACTTTCCCATGACAGACTCCAGTCTGGGAATCAGATCATCATAAGTGAGCAAACGCTCGACCTCATGTTTGTTTAATAAAACGGGAGACTCGCTCATAGTTTTTTCACCTGTCCGTCGGTCTTGCTGTTAAAGACTTCTGTTTGTTGTGGACTTTAGTTTCTCAGTCACGTGGTTCACTGGAGTCAAATGAGCAGCTTCCTTCTCTTTGGATCTAAATAAAAACTCTTCATACAAAACTACAAAAAATAGAAATAATTTTGAATTGTGGGTTTAAATGGTGTAGGCATGACGATTACTCATCGTCTTATTAAATGCGCACAAATCTACATATTACAAAAGTCAACAGAATGCGACGTCACCTTTTATTTATATTTCTCATATTTTTTTATTATTAGTATCTCACTGGCTGGCAATTGTCATCTATCGCCAAAGATATGTAACAAAATATATAAACAATGTAAATGTAGTATAAAAATCATAATAATAATTTAAAAATTGCTTTATGTTGCTATAGGCATTAGCAAAATGTGTTGAACTGATGATCATCTTATTGGCAGTAAGATTACATTTCTCATGTTTGTTGACTTTCATTTCAGATGACTGAAATTTAACAACCTGCAGTGGTTACGTGGAAAAATAAGTACTACATAATCAGTATTCAATTTACAGTGGGTACGGAAAGTATTCAGACCCCCTTAAATTTTTCACTCTTTGTTATATTGCAACCATTTGCTAAAATCATTTAAGTTAATTTTTTTTCCTCAATGTACACACAGCACCCCATATTGACAGAAAAACACAGAATTGTTGACATTTTTGCAGATTTATTAAAAAAGAAAAACTGAAATATCACATGGTCCTAAGTATTCAGACCCTTTGCTGTGACACTCATATATTTAACTCAGGTGCTGTCCATTTCTTCTGAGCATCCTTGAGATGGTTCTACACCTTAATTTGAGTCCAGCTGTGTTTGATTATACTGATTGGACTTGATAAGGAAAGCCACACACCTGTCTATATAAGACTGAGGGAAAAAAATTAACTTAAATGATTTTAGCAAATGGCTGCAATATAACAAAGAGTGAAAAATTTAAGGGGGTCTGAATACTTTCCGTACCCACTGTATATAACCAATTTTTCATGCACAATACTCTCAAACCATTCTTCTCCCTTTTCCCCCAAACGAATAAGCTTAGCTTAATTAAATCTCTAAATTTCACTAAAAATATGAAGTATACTTTCACTAAAGCGAACTGCATAGTTTAAAAATGCATGATCTGCTTTCATTTGTACACATCTGACAGTATTTATTGCGGTTTTATATTCACTTTGCATTGGGTAACACCAGAAAAATGGCAGAATATTTAATTCCATTTGAAAAATGCCAATGTATCGATGTTATACATGCAGTATGTGCATCTATCAAATATAAAGAACCCACACAAATCATCATTTGATTTGAACCAAACTTTATTTCGGCTGTCAGTTGCTGAGGAACGCACTCAACATTGTTTGATTCTAACAAAAAGGGGGAAAAAAGCCTTGGGGGTTGTACAAAAAGATCATTTATAAAACCTGAAAACAAAAGTGTAAAAAGTATGAGCTCAAACTAGGAGTCTTTCAATAGCCATCTGCACAGACTGAATCTGAGGTTTCAGCTGCGATCCCTCCTTGATGGTGACTGATGTGGCAATGACAGGTCTTGACACTCCACATGCACGTCCGAGAGCTTGTTTAGAGCGCACAAACACATACGGCACGTTCTTATCCTCACACAGCAGCGGCAGGTGCAGGATGATCTCCAGAGGTTCGGCATCAGCCGCCATCACAATGAACTCCGAAATCCCACGGTTAAGAGTTTTGGTGGCTGTGGAAGACAATAACCATCAGAGCTGGCAAAAGTGTCATTTACAATAGAGTGGGGGAACTATGATGTCACTTTGTAGGCAAAAACCCGGAAGCGAGTTAGCATTTTAGCACTTCCGGTTCCATCGTCCCAGACTCAATGGTTTTTTTAAAATGGGATTTTGGTTAAATCCGTAAAATAAGGTCCGTGGTTCACACAAGCTCAAGATACTTTCACGTTTTATTCTACGACATAGAACACACCAGTTACACCCCACTCATGATTTTTTTTTAAACTGTTACGTTTCTTTAAAAAGATGGTTGCTAACAAGTTGCTAAATGGGACTACAGGCGCTGTCCGAGACATATAACGTCATCACGCCGAACAGTATATCAATTTACAGTATTTTCCAGTCGTAGTATAATACAATTGTAGAATAACCAATTAATAGTTTCCCGCATTTTATATTGTTGTTCAACAGTGTTTTTTTGTTTTGCCCCTTAATGCAACAAGTCTTCTGATGGAAGATGTTCGTTTTATCGCTTTCCCGCTGATGCAGAGACTCTGGGTTCGTACCATAAGGTAAACTCGTATGATTATTCCATGTAAACACCACATTTACCGGCTTAGTCGTGGTGAAAGTGAAATTTGAACGATGCATAGTGCTTAAAGCTGTGTTAAAATTAAATGTTTACAGCCACATGAAGCGGTTAGAAAGCATGAGGATTTTCTAGAAGCAAGGATAAAATAACATTGTGTACGCACCCTAACAAAGCTGAAATGTGGTACTTTATTCACTAAAATAAGTTTAATCTTACCATATCCAAAAACCTGCTCACTCTGCTGTTATTTAATAGATTAAATGCACTAGAATTTTATTGAATAGTACGTGGAGACATGTTTTTAAAATATTAATATTAGGATTTAGGATTATTAGGATATTAATAAAGGATTAATTGACTTTTAATGCAACTTATTTCAAAATGTACAGAAATACGTGCTTTCACATGTCCTTTAGTTATGATTATTTCATTTATTCACTATACTATTTACTATTAATGTCTCATTTCAGTTTTAGCTTGGCTCTAGTTTTGTATTTATTCCAGTTTATATGAAAAGGTTCATGTAGCGTGGATTAAAATTCATATACAGAGTAAATCCTTTTCACTGAACAAGTTAAAAATCAGTTTGAAAAAAGTTGTGGGAAGCGGGGTGGTGGTGACGTCGAAGGCGAGCGACCGTGGTGCTGTAGTTCGGTTATAGCCAAAGTTTCGGAGAGTCGGACTCGTAACCCAAGGTTGCGGGTTCGAGTCTCGTACCGGCAGGGATTGTAGGTGGGGGGAGTGAATGTACAGCGCTCTCTCCCACCTTCAATACCACGACTGAGGTGCCCTTGAGCAAGGCACTGACCCGCCAACTGCTCCTCGGGTGCCACAGCAAAAAAGGGCTGCCCACTGCTCCGGGTGTGTGTGTGTTCACTGCTGTGTGTGTGCACTTTGGATGGGATAAATGCAGAGCACTAATTCTGAGCATGGGTCACCATACTTGGTCACATGTCACGTCACACATCAAAATTCATAAAAGTTATATTATTTTGTGAAGATTATCTTTATGGACAAAACGTGTAAGTTTCATGAACTATGGTTGAACACAGAGCTTATTTTTTTGCGATAATCCAAAAGCCTATGGAAAAATCCTATAGGCTTTTTGTCGAGGGAACCAGTGCGATGCCAACAGCCGATCCGCATACAAAGTGACGTCACAGTTCCCCCACTCTATATCTAGATAATTAATCAGGTGAACTTATACTCAAGTTATTCATTTTGATGATTAAAGCTTTGTTTTGTCTTTGTTCCCCATTCTCAATAACCACACAGCTTGAAAGAACAAGTTCTAAGGGGGCAATATACGGCTGGGTTTTTAATACATTTGGCTGTCTATGCAGTAGAAATGCTACTGTTTTTAATCTGTGCTGCTACATAACTTCAACACCGACAATGCACCAAGCATAAAGGCAGAAGATTTTAGAGCAGTCAATTTTGCCGAATGTTTTGTCATCCAGTGGACTTCCGCTGACAAAAAACAAAGACATCTTGATGCAGGTAACATGGAATAATACACAATTTTCATTTACTTAGACAGTTGACACTGTAACAACACAAAGGTGGTTGAAAATCTTACCCTTTAAAGATAAGAAAATGTCATAAAATATTATGAACAGATACGTAAAATAAAAAAAAACAATAAATGACTTATCAATAACCCATTAAAAACATTACATCAACCAATAACTGGTGCACTTGCACTTTCTGACGCTAGTGGGTAACACTTCTGTTATTAAGCAGGAGTTTTGATAGTTTGTGTGAGGACTACTAGCATAATAATGTAGTGATATAACGGCTAAGGATTGTTGTTATGCTCTTCGTGGACATGCGTTCATCAAGCGGAGGTAACGTTACTTTACCTTCATTGGCCCCTTTTCTCAACTGTTTGTAGTTCGACGCCTGCTGCACCAGGTCCAGGATGGTTTTGGAGAGCGTGGCGTCTGCCAGAGGATAGGCTTTCGGGTTCACTTCAGCTTCAGTCTGTGTAAAAAGGAGGACAGACAAAAGAGCAAAGCGTTATCAGCAAGACACTCAACCACATGAAGTTAACCAAACGACACTGATTATCAGTATTGGGGAAAGTTACTTTTAAAAGTAATGCATTACAATATTGCGTTACTCCATAAAAAAGTAACTAATTCCGTTACTTAGTTACTTTTTATGGAAAGTAATGCATTACTTTTGCATTACTTTTTAAATCTGGACAGGGCTTGCTTGTTTGTTTTTAAAATAAAAAAGTTATATTTTTGGCGAATATAAAAGCCTTTTCACAGCAAAAGTGAAATGAATGCGCCTCAGGCTGAAGGGAAAGTACAGTTACGTCCGTACAGTAGAATGCAGAAGAAGACATTTCAACACACTTCAGCAATAAACAAAACACACAAATGTTTGTCTAGAGTAATCTGTGCTTATTAGTACGGTTGAACTGGATCATCGAAGCTCAGAAGCAAAGACTTTGGTTAATAGAATGGGATTAAATACATAAAGGATATTTGTGTTGTTTAACATTTAATTATTGCAGGTTTGCGTCATATTCTGAGTTGCATTATTTGTATTCATTTTGAGGAATACTGAATCTGTGTTTTTTGTGTGAGTGAGATGAATTAATGCATATTCATATTTATTTTAGAACTACAGTAACATCTGATTTCTCTCAACATGGGGACAGGAGAGCTGTCAGTCAATAAATTGAAAAAAAAAAGTAACTTGCATTACTTATCTGAAAAAGTAACTCCGATATTCTCTTGTAAATTAAAAAGTAATGCGTTACTTTACTAGTTACTTGAAAAAAGTAATCTGATTACGTAACTTGTAATAGATTACCCCCAACACTGCTTATTATCTGGTCAACGTTATGTCTGATAACACGGTTTTCTGATCTACAACTGAAATGCTTCAAAAACATTCAAATAAGAGCCAATGTATAAATACTTTTATAATTCCGACAGGCAACATTAAAATAGCTACACGTTGAATGCAGTGAAGCAACATCCTAAACGAGTAAGTCCCACGCGTATACGTTACTCACCATTGTGTTTGTTGTGATTTGTCCGGTGACTAACTTATAAACACACGGGTCCTCTCGGCAAGAGCTTCACGGAGGACAGTACTATTTAACTAAACAGAAAATGTATAGAGTTGAGCAAATAAACAAACGAAATCGCTCTGATGGCCAGCGAAGCTTTGGGATCTTCACTACTAACACGTGTTTGTGATCTTCTTCTTCTTCTTCTTATATTTTTACGGCGGTTGGAATCCAGCGTATTGGTGCATTACCGCCACCTTCTGCTCCGGAGTGTGGATCAGAAAATAGGTTTACAGACTAAATCACCATTCTCCCACCTCTATCCCGACACATACATACCTACACACGCACACCTTATCCCTGCCCTGCTTTATAATAACATTAATAACAACAACAATAATAATAATAAT